GGATCTCCATCGACGAAGGCTTCTCCCAACGTTTCGGAACTCAAAATATTCAGATCAACGGCACCGCCGCAAAACTCACTCTGGACAAAACTTCTGGTAAATATGAACATGTCTAGCTACATGAAATCTCTTCTCTCTTAACCTGCCTGAATCCCTGTGCTCATTAATTCTTTGAACACATATATATTTATATATATACATATATGATGAATACTGCAGGTGCTGGATTGGTGTCAAAGAGCAATTACCACTATGGTTTCTTCAGTGCAAAGCTTAAGCTTCCTGCCGGCTTTGCATCCGGAGTTGTCGTTGCCTTCTATGTAAGTGTATATTTTCAATAGCTAAAAAGACGTCTCAAGACACGACAGAAGTGAAAACCAAAACCATAAACATGTGTTCGGGTGTATGTATATATGTATATATAGCTATCGAACGCAGAGAAGTATCCGAAGAACCACGACGAGATTGACATAGAGATATTGGGAAGAAGCAGAAGAGACGATTGGGTGGTTCAGACGAACGTGTATGCGAATGGGAGTTTGAGCACCGGCAGGGAAGAGAAGTTCTACTTCTGGTTCGACCCAACTCAAGATTTTCATTATTACTCCGTTATTTGGAACACCCACCACATCTTGTAAGTCCACACCCTTTATTTTTATTTATTTATATATATATATATATAAATCGACCCTTTTATTTTATTTATTGTTGTTGTTATTAAGGTTGGCAAGTATTTAATATATGGCATATGGTCCGGGGTTTTAGTTATTTATTAGGTAGTTGCCGAAACATACCCAACCTTTATTTTGAATGTAGTAGCAATACATGTATTTTTTATATTTTTAAATTCGAAATGAATTATGAATATGATTATACTTTCAAATGATGATGACCTATAAGATAGAACTTCAACTAATGAACACAATTCCTTATCAAATTTCATACAACATGATCTGTCACGATCTATCAAGAGACAACAAACTTATATACTTGGGTCCTTTTTTTTGCAATTATTTATAATAACAAATTCACTACACATCCCTTTTTATTGAGGTCCTAAGGTGTGATTCTGCCCCCAATCTCCATAGAAATACTCATATTATTTCTTTAATGATGGAGATTAAGATTTAAAATTTAAGAAAATGGCCGATAGTTCATTTTGTACCAATGGAAATGTGAAAATGGAAAAAATGGGTTAATGGGTACATGACTAAATAATTTTTTTTTTAAAATTACAGATTCTTGATAGACAATATACCGGTTAGGGAATTTCCAAACCGGGGAGCCTTCACGAAAGCGTACCCGTCTAAACCAATGTCACTATACGTCACCGTTTGGGACGGTTCAGAGTGGGCCACTCACGGCGGTAAGTATCCCGTTAACTACAAGTACGGCCCCTTTGTTGCCTCAATCGCTGACGTGGAGCTTAACGGCTGCTCCGTTGACGGTACCGGGTCGTGTACCAAGTCGGGCGGGTCTGTTTCGGGTCTGGATCCTGTGGACGGTCAAGATTTCGCAACGTTGTCAAAGGAACAAATCACAGCAATGGATTGGGCTCGTAGGAAATTGATGTTTTATTCTTATTGCAGTGACAAGCCTAGGTACAAAGTCATGCCCTCGGAATGCAGATGAATTTTCAAAAAATAATTTATTTATTAAGAAAAATACTGCCGTTGAATGTGTTATTAACATATTTATGACTGTTTTATTAGGATGTGTATCAACGGTCCATGTAATTGCACCTCATTGGTTATAATTTTTTTTTCACTAGGGTTTCTTTAAAATAAAATTACTTTCATGAAATGCAAAAATTTTGTATTTGCATGTGTTTTTTTTTTTATTTGAGGGTTTTTGGATCGTCTTCTAGATACTCGACATTTTTATAGTCGACGAAAATAACTCGATCTAAGAAGTTAGTGACCGCTTCCTAAAACTCTCCCCGTGTGGTCGACAATAACCGGTTGTACCTAACCAAGCCAACCGTGGTTCCACGGCTACGATCTCTGTTCCCCATCTTTGGTTTGTGCGATGGATAGCACAAGCAATACCCCAATGGCACGATTAACCGCAAGTGTACGAATTTTCGAACAAATGGACCGGTTGCTAGACTAATGTTCGATTGGAACTAAATCAATGAACAAACAAATATGGTGTCAACGTGAATGTATATATGCGAACGATATGAAAATAAAAGTTATAAAACGAATCAAACAATCAATAGATGAAATCTGGAGGCTCAAGATTCGTTATGGAGCAGATGTGATGTGGAAAATCAGATAAGTATTTGCTAGGTATACAAGAACTATAATGATCAATTTGTATTGGAGGATTTCAAACAACTAAACCAGGGAGCTCACCTTTCGATATAAAACTCATTATTCAGCATCCCTAAAATCTATATCTCTATGAGATTTGTTGAAACCTAAATACATGAAGAACATTATCACATTTTTAGATCGTTTAAACCATATTCCTATATAAATAAGTTATTCATTCATCCGAATATAAACTCATCTTTCTAAGTGATTCAAATTCTAAAAGTATTGATCGAACGATAATCAATCATCAATACAATCAAGTAAAGATCGAGAAACCGAAACAAATAGATATCTTAAATCAAAAAATAGATTTAAATATATCCAAACAAGAGACAAATAAGAAATCAAATAGGAAAAGAAAAGAAGAGAAGTTTATGTTGAGATATCAGTTCTAATCTTCGAGTTCCGATTTCAATCTTCGATCTTCCTCTTCCCGATACTCAGCTATCTTATTTTTCTCTATTTTATACTCTGTAGATGTATGATTGAACTTTTGTGTGTTTGTTCTGGTTCTGGGTGGGGCTCATCTTTCCTTCCATCTCAATCATCAACTTCCGAAAAATGAAATTAGGTATTCATGCGATTTGTGGACCAGTCCGGTTTAGTTCTAGATCGGTTCTGTTTAGGTTTTTTTTTTTATCAAACTTTTCACTCGACATTCTGGATCGATCTGGTCCAAAATTTTGTAACTTCAGTTATTTATCGGTAGATTGGATCGACTCTCCCTTGAACTGAACCGTTCAGATGCAAGTCTTTATATAAGCTTGGATTGCGTTCTTTATGCTCCAAAATTGCTCTCCATTAAGTTTGAACATCGCTAGAATCATGTTTTACTACAAAGTGAAATACAAACTAATATTATGGTCTAATATACATAACATGTCTAAGAATACATATGAATATCGTGTAAATCATCGGCAAAACATTCTTAAATATAGAGAAAAATAGAAATATCAAATCTTCGCAAACTTAAATTTTTACTCATTTTCATGAATGAATAGTGTCTAAAAAGAAACAATGATCATCAATCAGAATCAAACTGAAAGTTAAAAGCAAAATTTCTATCCAACGTAGATTCTCGTGAATAATAGTTAAACCGATCTATTATGATCTCACTCTCTAAAAATTAATTCGTAGTAGTTATGCGATATCTACCGTTATCTAGAATCTGATAAAGAACTCCACAACCAATCAAACACGTTTTTTGAACCTATTTATCTTTCCACTATGTCTTTTTTGTCTGTATTTTACTGCACACATTTTTCCTTCTTTTTTTTCATGCTCTAACATCTCGGATTACTATGATGTTGAAATTGGCGGGTGTTTCCTGCAAAACTTTTTCATTTTTTCTTCAAATTTATTTTTTGAATACTCGATTCATAATTTAGAACCAAACCATTGCTCTTCAATGCACTGATATTCTCAGTTTGTGATATCGTAATATCGACATAATTCTTTATTCTAGATGTTTTCCGAATTAGATGTCTTTGACATGTAAAATTAGGAACGGATTTTAATGAAAGTTATACATTTGGACTAAATCATATCAATCTTATAGATTTCAACCACCAATTCTACACAAATTTAAGTACCTCCTTCTCTATCATTCCATAGATCATTAAAATGATGTTCAAAACGATGATTACTATGCAATTAGTATCTATAAATTAAATTCAAGTAAAAGTGGAAGTTCGCAATTATAAGGGTAGTGAATAAAGTAGGTGATGTTTTTGAATGCGAGAGTATGGGTTGGAGCGTTTTGAACAAAGTAACAAGGATGAGCTTGGAGAAATCTGTGTGTTGTATTGATCATCTCCATGTAAGAACGCGTTATGAACATCCATTTGGTGAATCTCCCATTTCCGAGCAGCGGCGACAGCCAAGAACGTCCGAACCGTGACCATTTTGGCGACGGGAGCAAATGTATCACCATAGTCTAACTCGTCCACCTGTCGATTGCCAAGAACAACTAACCGTGCTTTGTACCGTTCTACCGTACCATCTGAGCGATATTTGATCTTAAAGATCCATTGACAACCAATAGTTTTCTTTCCCGGGGGGAGCGAAGTAACATACCATGTCTGATTATTTTCCAAAGCAGAAAGCTCCGAGTGCATGGCTTCTTTCCATTTAGGATTGCGTAGAGCATCCTTGTAAGAGCGGAGTTCGGTGTCCGCAGAAATCGCAGCGAGAAAAGCCCGATGAGGTACGGAAAACTCAGAATAATCCAGTGAATGAGCAATCGGGTAAGGACCACCAGCAACCGGGTACGGACCTGAAGGAAAAACAGAGCCAACACCGCAAGGTTTGACGCAGACTGTATTGGTGACGTGATCTTTTAAACGAGTCGACGGAAATTTCTGACGTTTTCCGCGACCAAGATCGTCGGCAGGAAACAGAGTGTCAACCTCGGTGCCCCCCCTGACGGGCGAAGTCTGATCAGTCGAAACAATGATATCTGAAACAGTCGGTAGAGCTGGATCAGGGTCAGGTGCCGTAGCCGAAACAGAACCCGGAGGTGAATCAGACACCGGGGTGGCAGAGGATAGGGACGAAATGAGAGGGAGATCATCATCGGGGCAAAGAAAAGGAGCCGAAACTGTCAGATCCGAAGGATGAGTCGGATTGTCCGACAAAGACGACGTAGCAAACGGGAATTGGTCCTCGCAAAATACGACGTCTCGAGATACGAAGAACCGATGATTGTCGAGATCATAAAGTCGCCATCCTTTCTTACCCGATGGGTAGCCCACAAACACCGAACGAACACTACGAGGGGCAAATTTATCTCCCTTGGTATCCTTGTTATGAGCATAACAAAGGCAACCAATCGAACGTAACTGTGAGTAATCGGGTTTGCGTCCATAAAGAACTTCGAATGGGGTTCGACCGGATAGAACCGTCGATGGAGTGCGGTTAATCAGAAAACCGGCAGCCAAGATACAGTCGCCCCAGAATTCAATCGGAAATGCAGCTTGAAACAGCAGTGCACGAGCAACGTTGAGAATATGACGGTGTTTGCGTTCTACTCTACCATTTTGTTGGGAAGTGTGAACGCACGAAGTTTCATGAGTGATTCCACGAGATCGAAACTCGTCACGAAGGCACAAAAATTCGCTGCCATTGTCGGATCGAACAATACGAACTTTCTTCGAGAACTGGCGGTCGACCATAGCCAAGAAATCGAGAAAGACACGAGAGACTTGATTCTTTTCTGAGAGAAGAAACAACCACACACCGCGAGAATAATCATCAACAATCGTTAGAAAATAACGAGCACCACAGAATGACGGTGTACGATACGGCCCCCACAAGTCGCAGTGAACGAGATCAAAAATATCCGATGTTTTATTTGAACTCAAAGAGAAAGAATCACGCGTTTGCTTGGCGCGCAAACAAATGTCACAAAAACCCAAAGAATCAACAGAACCATGACAAGTAATGCCCGAAATCTGCTCTAATACTTTAGACGAGGGATGCCCCAATCTTCGATGCCAAAGCTCAAACGTCAACTTGTCTCCGGAACGAACAGCAGCGACAATCTCAACGCCCCGAAAGTAATAGAGCCCATCCCGTAACTCACCCGCTCCAATCAGCGTCTTCGTAACGAGGTCCTGGATGAAGCACAACTTGTCAGTGAACTGCACACTACAAGTCCGATCGGCGAGCAACTGAGATACGGAGATCAAATTAACGTGTAATCCATGCACAAAAAAAACATCAGACAGATGGAGAGCCGAAGAAAGACAAACTGTCCCGGACTGATCAGCAATCGTGCGACGCCCATCCGGAAGCACGATATTAAAAGGAGCCATGGGAGAAACATTATGTAAAACGTCGATACAACCAGTCATATGATGAGAGGCCCCGGTATCAAAAATCCAAACAGCAGAAGAGAACGTACCCGAAGAGGTTTCTGTAGCACCTATCTTCCCGGCATTAAGAAGAGAAATTAACGTCTTCCATTGATCCTCACTTATGCCACTCGGCGACGGAGTGTCTGAGGGTAGTGGCATCGGACTAGACGACTGAGGGCCAGTCGGCGGAACAGAGCAAGTGGCATTCGTCGGCAGACCAGGGCAAGCGGCGTTAACACGGCCAGTACCACGGCTGCGGGAGTTCGACGACTGACCACGCCCCCGATTGGAGCGATTCCGAGGACGATCGCCCCACCACTCCGGAAAACCCAAAATTTGGAAGCAGGAATCGGCGTTGTGTCCAGTTCTTCCACAGTTCGAACAGAGGACAGATTTGTCCTTGACCAGAGGAAGAGACCGAGGCTTGGAAGCCGACTGAACCGAAAACGCCGAGATTTCAGTGGATTAAGAATGAGGAAACGACAGCCTCGAGGCTTCATCCTGAATCACCACCATGTAGGCTTCCTCAACTGTCGGAAGAGGGAGACGAGACAGGAGATTTGAACGAACAATACCGAATTTAGCTTCATCAAGACCAAGCAAAAATTCATACAACCGATCCTCTTGCCTCTGTGTCTCCAATTCAGCAGCAATATTGCATGTGCACGCCCCACACTTGCACACTTTCAGAGTTCGAAGAATGCCCAAGTCATCCCACAGTTTAGACAACTTACCGAAATACGACTCCACGGAGAGGCCTTGCTGTCGGCAATTGGCTAAATCGATGCGCAGACGCATGAGACGAGGTACATTCGTCATGCCGAAACGACGCTTAAGATACTCCCATAAATCTGTCGCAAACTCTCGGTGAACAACATCGGAACGAAGACTCGGTTCAAGAGTGTTCTTGAGCCAAGACACAATCAGGGAATTATTAGTTTCCCAATCTTCATAATCTGGAGAAGAGGGATCCGGTGGTGGAATCTTACCGTCCACAAACCCGAACTTCTTCCGTGATTTCAAGGCATGGCGAAAATTGATCGACCATTCCTCATAGTTCGGTCCTCGCAGCAATGGCTGAGACAGGACAAGACCGGGGTTGTCGTTGGGACTCAAATCGAAAGGAGAAATCGTCCTCCTCGGAGTCTCAGAGATCGAGTTCGTCGCGGCGGAAGACATCGCCGAATCAGTCGCAACAATGTTGTCGTGTGTAGTCGCCATCGGAGGAGGAGTAACAAAATCGAGATGAACTAAAAATTGTCGGGCTCTGATACCATAACAAGGTATGAGCTTGGAGAAATCTGTGTGTTGTATTGATCAGGAACCACTATACTTATACAACTCGAAAACAACCCAAGACCTAGAGAATCTCGGACGAATCAAGCAGAGGAAAGGAAAGAGATATACACAAGATATACATGATAATATATATGTCCGATATTCTCGGTAACACAAAGCAATTGTATTCTTGAGTCAGGTAAGTTATATATATATATATATATATATATATATATTCTTTATATTTATTTTCTATCCATGAGGTATTATACAAAAACCCTAAGATTATGTCGGCATCCTAATTTTATATATCGGTATGATTTTTACCCTTTTGGTTTCCGAACAAAAAGATGACTTTGAACTTTTTTTCACAAGACCATCGTAATGGGACAAAGGTGAATAGAAGTCAATAGATGACATGAATGTCCTTTAAATGTTTCTATCTTCATTTCCGTTCCATTTAATGTCTCAATTAATACCACGTTTATCTTTTGGATTTATTTATTTTTATATCATCACTCTCGTTAGATTTTTTTTTTCTTATCATTCTTGGAACTAACGAATATGATACAAGATTTTTTTTATAAAAAAAAAAACATAAACCCTATAAAGTGAAAGAGAGATTTTTCACTTTATAAACTACAAAAGTAAAGGATGTTTGCACAAGTTATAGAGAACGAAAAATTAATAAAGCAATGTTTAATTTATTTTTTGAACATGAAAAAGCGAAATTTTAGATAGACATTTAATTAACAAAAAGAATACTATCTATATTTCGTTTATTAACTGATATAAAAACTGTTCGTGAAAAAAAAAACAGATATAAAAACTGGGAATAATTTTAAAAATTAAACAAAAAATAATGAAAATATAGTCGAAATTTGAAATGTTCATCCCAACTCAGAATTTTTGTAGTTTTGGTTTCCACGTTTTCGATAGAAAATTGTGAAAATGTTGTATTACCATTCAAACCAAATAAAATCGCGCACTAAAGAAAAACTCGTATATAGACTGAGAATTTGGACAATACAAAAATTGAGAATATTTTTTTCTAAAAAAAATCGGCAATATAAAGAAATGAAAATTTTGTTATTTAAGAAAAAGAAGAAAAAGGAAATGAAGCTCATATATGTATATAAGGATAACCATTTTGGTTATTAACCGAGTAGCCGTATCGATAAGATATAATCGTAATTGAACCGAATTCGACATTAAAATTGAACGGTTATGATTTTATTATATCCGAAAAAAATTAAAATCGAACCCCGATTAAAAAAATAACCGAAAAAACCGATAATTTCTTTGAAAAATGAGTTTTTTACAATAAAAAAATATGAATCCGAACTAAACCGAACCGACAAATAACTGTACCAAATTGAACCGAAATTTATATTAAAAACCGAATGGGTATAATTTTTTTATAACCGAAATGACTGAACCCAAATATAATTGAACTGAACCCGAATGCATGGTAGAAAATTAGCCAGAAACAAAAAAAAACTCAAACAAAACGTCGAAGAACTCCACAATTAAAAAAAAAAAACTCCCAAAGAGATCAATTTTTTGGCACATCACTTCGTTTCATCAAAAGATACAAGTCGACGGCAAGAAGCAGCTCGACAAATATTTACATTTCTATGAACTGTCGGAACCCAAAAAACAAAAGAGATTAAAAAACAAAGATTCAGGTTCTTGCTTACTATGGTTTCATCTGTCTCCATTATTAACAAGTATAAACAAAGACACAGAAGAACAAGAACAAGACGTTTTCAGGAGCTTCGTCCACGAGCAGCCAAACAGGGAAACTTCTCCTTGATAGCCGCGTTTTCACGAGTTCTTGGGTTGAACGACGATCCTCTGCTCTCGTTACTCAATTTCCTCGCGAAACTCTTCTTCTTCATCGCCGTCTTCTTGTTTCCGCTACGATCTCTGATCGTTGGAACCAAGTACCAGGCGATACAAGTGCACATAATCGCCACCGAACGTCCAAAAAATGCCAAGAACACAAGGACCAATATCACCGTCACCGGCAAATAGTGGCTCGGTCTCTTCATTCTCTGGAGGTTTACGTTCAGTACACATGGTTTTTGCTCGGTTTTCTTATCTGGGTCTGCCTCTGTGTGCTTCGCTTCTCCATCTGAACTTCCTTTGGACTCGCTCTCGGGTTTAGATTCTTGAACCGAGGCCTTGATCTTGGCATCTCGAACGGTCTTTCCCGGAGTTTTCTCGAGGTTTGATGACTTGATGATCAATGGAACACACTCGCCTGAACTCTTGAACACGAACCTGACGAGAGGAGCCTCTTCCGAGCCGAGTTTCGCGTAAATCTTCTGTCTTTTTTCTTCCAGATCGGACAGAAGAGCAGAAAATTTGTCGAGCCCTCGAGACGAATATGGGTTCTTGTCCTTCCTCGATTTTCTCGGAGATGAACAAGGGCTTCCGAAAGGGCTTACCATGTCGATGAAATCGATGATCAATTATCAAAATCCCTGGTGTTTCTGATCGGAGAATTTAAGGTCTTGGTTGTGGAGGAAAGTGGTTAGGGTCTTGTTTTCCAGACAAAACAGGAGACGATGATGAAGATCATACGGGATTTGTCTGAAAGGCTTATAACTTGACCAGATCTAAGTTTATATATATTTATAATAACTTGGTCAAGATCATTGGCTTGTGGATTAGAAGTTTCCAAGTACATGTATTTCTTGGTCAATTCGGTTGACTTTTTCTTGGAGAAGAAGTGATAATGCAAAACTCATTTTTTAATTATAATAAGGTAAAAAATACAGAGATTATAACATTTTTTTAGTCTCCTAATTGATATGTTTGCATAAGAATATACGTCATTCTCCTCTTATTCTCTCAGCCATCTAATTATCACCACAGCCGTCACAGCGTTAGGTTTTTATTTCACATCCTAAATACTAGATGAATTAAGCCATTTATTCAGAATATTAAATGGAATCTAAATAAAAGGATTTAAAAATGGAAGATTTAATTTTTTTAATAAAAAAATTGAATAAGGGAAAACAAACCAAAATTTTAACCATAATTGCATAAATACTTTAAAATTATCTTTATATTTTATAGATAGATAACGAAACTAAAATTCTAAAAAAATTATTACCATACATAAAAATTCAAATAATTGATATATTATTACCAATAAGCCAAATCCATCGGATATTTACACATTTTTTAAATCTTCTAACTCTTTATATGATTACTTAACATTTATGGTTCACATTATTTGCAAGGAAAAAAAGAACATATACGATGTGTAAGAAGAGATTAAGTACGTGTGTGCATATCTCTTGTTATATATTATATATTTATAATATATATATATATAGAGATATATAAACACCCTACTATACACGGTGAGAAGAATAACTTAATACCAAAGACCTGACGATGGGGATGCCATGACTTGGAAAAGAAGATTTGAAATGTTTCTAGAATCAAATTTTTTTTTTTCATATTTTAATTTAATATATTTCCACCAAATTTGTTTTACCAGTTTTTTCAAATATCTCAACCCGATTAATTGATTAGTTTATTGTCGGGTCGGTTCTATATATAACCCTTTTGCAAAAAAAAATAATTATAAAAAGATAATATGATTTTTTTTAAACTTCATATAAATATATAAATTTTGAAATTTCCACCAAAAATAAATAAACTTTTAAAAATTGTAATAAACTCAATCTACTGTTTGCAAAGATATATACATTTATATTAATATTTCTATAGTTTAGTTTTTCTATAAATTTTAAAATATGTGTGTTTATATGACAATTTTTGAAAATTTTTATTTTTCATACAATTACCCTAATCAAGATCATCACTACTTTCCGTTTAAAAAAATTATTTTTCATCAAATATATTGTTATTAATTTTGTAGATAATTATTTTTAATCTCTAATAAAATAGTATTTACAAAATTTGAATATAATTTAAACTCAAATAAAAAACCGAAAAAATAGAAAAAAATTTATTCCACATTCGAATCAATTTTTGAAAGCAAAATGACGATTTCATCTTCAATAAGAGATTTTGAAAGGGGTATTTCTGAAAATCTGAAAGTCGATCGGATCACCAAAGTAAGAATAATACGTTAAATTATGATTTTCCATTTGGAATTTGGAGCTATTTAGGATTTGGAGACTTCCAAATAGAGTAAGGGTAACAATATTGAAGTCGTATAGCTAAGCAAGTTGTAAGAATATTGAAGTCGCATAGGTAAACTAGTCACAAGTCATATTGTAACGACTCGCGATCACTACGAAACGTTGAAACTACTCTCACACACCAATACGAGATATTCCAATGTGTTTTGTCTACATTCACATGCATAGTTATATACTTCTTACTAGGTGATAACGCAAATCTAGGTATATAAATAATGTTCAAGTGATAAAAACCTAGATACAGCGAATACCGCAAGGATACGGATCAACTGTAGTACCAGGATCGAACGCAGGGAATAGTTAACACTAAGGACAAGGCTCGACTAAGAATCAGATCAGGAAATAGCAGATGGAATAGATGAATACCAAAAATAAAGCAATAAATAAACTAAGTAAAATCAGAAATTAAACCACCGTAGCTTCGGGATAACCTTAATGCGCAGAGATTGTTTCTAAGGATGGAGAATCTACGAATATCGAACTCTAATCGGGGATCTCAAGTTCTAATATCAAATTTGGCTTTCTCAAGTCCTAAATCCACTATCCAATAATTTAACCTATCGATCTCTCAACCTAATAGATTAAAATATCAAACGCATTAACGATCACTATCACAGTTCCTAAACCGATTAACCTATCTCTCAATAGTCTTAATCAATTCATTCAATGAATTCGTTCTGAATCTAATTCCAACTCTCGTTGTAAATCAGAATCTAAGATCAATCAATCAACAGGTCAAGAAGATCAAAAGCAATAAACTCAATTCTATTAAACCACCGAGTATCGGTAACGTAGTCTCGGAAAATAAAAACCAAACAAATCCCTACAAGGTTAAATCCCTAGTTACAGTGAAACGACTACTCACTACCCATAACAACAAACGAGTTCAAATCAATAAGAAGAAACATAGAAACAGATAAAGAAGACTCGCAGCGATTTCTTGACGACGATTCTTCAATCTCTGCTCCCGGGAAACTCCGTCTTGATTCTTTCTCGAGTTCTCTGGCTTCTCCTGTGACCTCTCGATAGTTTCCGAAGCCCAAGACGTCCTCTATTTATTTGCTTGGCAGCTAAGCTTCTTCCTTTGCTGAAAACGGAAGTTCATATTCAAAATAGAAAGTTTTCCCGTAATGCAACACGGCCGTGTCGAATGCAACACGTGGCCGTGTCAATTCTCTGTTAAAAATCTGCACTTTAGACATGGGCTGAACACGGGCGAGTTTGAATCAACATGGCCGTGTCGAATGACAACACGGTCCGTGTCAATTCACTGAGCAAAACTTCACTTTTTTCAGCACGGACACAACACGGCCGTGTCGAATGCAACACGGTCCGTGTCGATTCTTCAACTCGAACATGCTTGACAGATTTGCTCATAACTTTTTGCTCCAACGTCGGATTTGTGCGAATTGGTGTCTATGCGTAGATATTGAAGAGAGCTTTCCAATAAGGTAGAGAACACATAATTTGGACTTGTAGATTGGAAGTTATTTAACTTGCAAGATCTGACTTTTTAGGCTTCATGTTTTTCACCGGAACAACTCCAAATGTTCCCGTTTCGTCTGTGATGTTTCGTAATCCATGTTTTCCACTCCTTTTGCTCTCTTTTATGCGTGAATACCTGTTTTGACATCAAAGAAAGCAACCAAGCAATATCGAGACCTAATTACTCTAGAATGTCTATAAATATGCAAAACCGAGTAAAATGCACTAGGCATCTTATACCAAAATGTCACCAAAATACATGTTATCAAACACCCCCAGACTTAAACATTTGCTCGTCCTCGAGCAAATACTCCGTGAAAAGCGATCTGAAAGGAGGGTGAGACAATGACATAACTCAAAATGATAATCGAGAGCGAAACCTCTATCCGATCTAGATCCCCGTGAACAATGATCAAGTCTGTCTAGTATGATCTCCCTCTCTAAAGGATAGTCTTTCCTAGCTATGGGATCTATACCGCTACCAAGAACCAATCCAAGAACTTCAATCATCTACCAAGCATGTTTCTCGAACCTATCACGTCATTCTACCTAATCGTATCTAGTCTACGCTTTCGGTATTCATTTTTTTCTTCTTCTCTTTTTTTTTCTTTCATCTATCTAGATTTTTTTCTTTTACTAGCATCTCGGGTTCCTAGGACGTTGAAGTTGAAGGGTTCCTAATCAGTTTTTTTTCGATTTTGTTTATTGGATAACCCGACCCACAACTTAGACCTGAACCATCAAATTGATGCACTCATGTCCTCGAACGATTTTTGTTGACGATAATGACAGCGGAGTGTCGAGATGCTCACTATCTTTTTCTGCACATAAAGAAATAAGAATGCATTTGATAATAGACTTTACCGATTTCAGCAAACATGGGAAAGGTTCTTATAGAAACTTTTCTACTTGGCTAGACAACATCTGTCCCATGGGTTCCAACCAACGATTTCTATCCCACAAGCCATTCTAAAAAATCCTAAAGGTCAGGCAATCAATTCAACAAAACATAACCACGTTCAACGGATCACAATGTTTTCAAGACGTTTCTATTCTCTCATATCATGGGTCATCATATCAATGCTCAAAACGGTTTAATGCACGTGATCTTATATGTCCTAAACACTATGAGAATGCACAATCCTTATAACAAACTATATGATCCTAATGCATCTTATATGCACATGCAACTAAAAAATGAAAATAAAAGGAAAAAATGCATGCAACACTACTCTAAATAGATATGGTTTGGCGTTAGACGAATCCTCCCCCAGACTTGAACTAGACACTGTCCTCGGTGTCAAATTTCGTCCAGTACAGGCAACCAATAAGATGAGTCAAAAGAGAAGAAAATCAAAAAGGGAAAAGAATACTTAGCTCGCGATGTTCGTTCACTCGCACTTAAGTCTGCCTACGTCTATCGCATAGCTAGCTTCCTCGCCTCCTTAATTCCTCATTAGAACTCAACCTGATGATAAGAGACACAAACCAATATTCGATGCAAAAAGAAAAAGAAAAAGAAAGGAAAGAAAAACTAACCTAAGAACTCGGGTTGCCTCCCGGGAGCGCTTGTATAAGGTCTTTAGATTGACCAAACTCTCTCAACTATCGGATGGGTCTAATGGGCGAAGATCATCGATCTTCTGCCAACCTGGATCATGAAGTTTAAGAGCATCTCTACAACAAAATGAGTTTGAGAAACGAGGCGTACCTAGTAGAGAAAAATCTGGTGGTGGTATATGAGATTCGAGCCAGTTCTCACGATGGTCTGATGAGTTAGTGACCTGCTCAACCATGTTAGCTTCTTTCTTACCTTTTGTCCTATCTGGATCTGGTCCTCTCTTAACCTTGTGTATGTGGTCCTGGTTCTTAGGCGTTTTGAGCTTGTAAACTAAACAAATAGATTTCACACTTTCGTCTGGATTATCATTTTGATTGAGCATGAATTCTATTGTCTCGTCTCCAATGGACATAGTAAGACGACCCGCTCTGACGTGGATGACGACATCTTCTGTGTTGAGAAAGGGACGCCCTAGAATGATAGGCATGCTTGATTCTGCATCCATGTCAAGAACCACAAAATCGACAGGTATGTAATAATCACCCACCTTAAGTGGCATATCCTCTAGTATACCTGCAGGCTGTTTGGTCGACCTATCTGCCAACTGTAATATCATTTGTATGGGTTTGAGTTCACCCACACCTAGTCTCTTGAAGATCGACAATGACATTAGGCTTACGCTTGCTCCTAGATCACATAATGCCTGTTCAATAAAGAGATTGTCCAGTTTGCAAGGAATGGAGAAACTACCTGGGTCTGCCATCTTACAGGGCAAATCGTGCTGAAAAACGGCACTGCACTCTTTGGTTAATGCTACTGTCTCCTTCTCCACTGTCTTCTTCTAGCCAGAATATCCTTGAGAAATTTGGCATAAGAGAGCATTTGAGTGATTACCTCATGAAAAGGTATTGTGACCTTCAATTTCTTTATCATGTCCGTGAAGCGCTTAAACTGGTTGGCCTCTTTTTGTTGCACAAGTCGTGAAGGGAATGGAACTGGAGGAGGTCTGGGAGGTGGAGGTACATACTTTGGTTCTTCCTCACATGTCATCTTAATTGGAGTATCTGTAGGCGGAATGTTAGAGGTGATCGCAGATCTAGAGTAAAAAGACTCATCTTTTTCAAGAGTAGGGGGGACAACATCCTCAAGTTGTTTCCGGCTTCTCAAGAACACTGCATTGCAGTGCTCTCTAGGATTTGTCTCGGGTTTCCCGGGAAGTGATCCTTGAGGTCGCGAAGGTATAGAGGCTGCGAGTTGAGCTATTTGGTTATCGACAAGTTTCAAGTGCCCGTCGGTCTCTTGTTGATGTTCACGCATCTCGGTGCGAATAGCTTCTTGGCCCTGCATAAGCTGTGCGAACATAGACTTAAGATCGAGGTCAAAATCTACCTGTTATGAAGACGGAGACAGAGCGTAATTTTGCTGAGATTGAAGAGGTGCTTGGTAGTATTGAATGGCCTGATTCTGATGTTGTGGGGGATCTCGGGGTCGAGGTTGATGTCCTTGAGAAAGACCCTGATTAGCCGAACCACCAAAATATTTGTGGGGAGTATTCAAGACATTGGAAGAATTATTGTACGAGAAGTTTGGATGATTCTTCCACCCCGGATTGTACACATTCGAGTACAGGTTGTTATCTACGTAGTAGACATCTTCGATCATGTACCCGTTGGCTGATGTGTCTAAGTCTGAGATCTGATGAGCATTCTCAACCTGGATTTTAAGTTTTGCCAATTCTGCACGTAATGCCTGAATTTCAGATAGACTTTCCTTACCTGCACGACTGTCTTTGAGGCTAACGTTTCTGATAAACTCGTGAGAAGGAGCACACTCGTTGGCCATCTTGTTGATCTGTTGCTCTATGAAGTCGAATGACTTTTCGTTGAGGCTTCCTCCACATGCTACTCGAATAAGAACCTGAGTGTCCTCCTTTAATCCCTGCAAGAAAGTGGAAATAAGGTACCTTTTATCCCATCCATGGTGAGGACATGTTCTCTGGTATCCTTGAAAGCGATCCCAAGCTTCACGTAAGGATTCATCAGGTTCCTGCAAAAATGAGTTAATCTGTTCTTTCGCGAGCTGGGTCTTGCTAGCGGGAAAAAACCGCTGCATGAACTTTTCTTGCATCTGTTCCCATGAGAATATGGAATCTGGAGATAGTGTGTGGAGTCATTCCAGAGCAGTATCCATTAAGGAGAATGGCAAGGCTATGAGCATGAGAGACTCATCGGTTACTCCGCGGACTGTCCTCACTGACTGGCATAGTAGCTTGAATCGAGTCAAGTGAGGGATCGGGTCTTCGTTAGGTCTACCTCTGAAAGCCGATGAGCTCAACATATTGATGAATGTCGGTTGAAACTCAAAATTGTTACGATCGATGTCAGGCCGGCGAATGCATGAAAGCTGTTGAATGTACTTAGGCTGAAGGTATGCCCCATAAGTGTCATTGTTGTTCTCAGCAACTATAACACGTTCCTCCATCTTTCTTTGCGTCGTTTCTTCTTTAAATTGCGCTTAGCGGACTTCTCGATTTCAGGGTCAAGAGGTACTAGGTTGTCAGGCCCAGAACTCCTGGTCATACACCGGAAACCTGCACACCAGAAAGTCGAACAAACACAAAGAATAGATCAAGAAATCGAGGGAAAAGAAAAAGAAAAGAAAAGAAAAAAAATCTAGATTCAAAGGAATCTTTATCATAGCGCTAAACTATTCCCCGACAATGGCGCCAAAAACTTGATAACATAAATTTAGGTATAGAAATAATGCTCAAGTGATAAAAACCTAGATACAACGAATACCGCAAGGATACATAGCGCTAAACTATTCCCCGACAATGGCGCCAAAAACTTGATAACATAAATTTAGGTATAGAAATAATGCTCAAGTGATAAAAACCTAGATACAACGAATACCGCAAGGATACAGATCAACTGTAGTACCAGGATCGAACACAGGGAATAATTAACACTAAGGACAAGACTCGACTAAGAATCAGATCAGGAAATAGCAGGTGGAATAGATGAATACCGAAAATAAAGCAATAAATAAACTAAGTAAAATCAGAAATTAAACCACCGTAGCTTCGGGATAACCTTAATGCGCAGATATTGTTTCTAAGGATGGATAATCTACGAATATCGAACTCTAATCGGGGATCTCAAGTTCTAATATCAAATTTGGTTTTCTCAAGTCCTAAATCCACTATCCAATAATTTAACCTATCGATCTCTCAACCTAATAGATTAAAATATCAAACGCATTAACGATCACTATCACAGTTTCTAAACCGATTAACCTATCTCTCAATAGTCTTAATCAATTCATTCAATGAATTCGTTCCAAATCTAATTCCAACTCTCGTTGTAAATCAGAATCTAAGATCAATCAATCAACAGGCCAAGAAGATCAAAAGCAATAAACTCAATTATATTAAACCGCCGAGTATCGGTAACGTAGTCTCGGAAAATAAAAACCAAAAAAATCCCTACAAGGTTAAATCTCTAGCTACAGTGAAACGACTACTCACTACCCATAACAACAAACGAGTTCAAATCAATAAGAAGAAACATAGAAACAGATAAAGAAACTCGCAGCGATCTCTCGACGACGATTCTTCAATCTCTGCTCCCGGGAAACTCCGTCTTGATTCTCTCTCGAGTTCTCTGGCTTCTCCTGTGATCTCTCGATAGTTTCCGAAGCCCAAGACGTCCTCTATTTATTTGCTTGGCAGTTGGGCTTCTTCCTTTGCTGAAAATGGAAGTTCATATGCAAAATAGAAAGTTTTCCCGTAATGTAACACGGTCCGTGTCAATTCTCTGTTAAAAATCTGCACTTTAGACATGGGCTTAACACGGGCGAGTTTGAATCAACACGGTCATGTCGAATGACTACACGGTTCGTGTCAATTCACTAAGCAAAACTTCACTTTTTTCAGCACGAACACAACACAGCCGTGTCAAATGCAACACGGTCCGTGTCGATTCTTCAACTCGAACATGCTTGATAGATTTGTTCATAACTTTCTACTCCAACGTCGGATTTGTGCGATGGTGTCTATGCGTAGATATTGAAGAGAGCTTTCCAATGAGGTAGAGAACGCGCAATTTGGACTTGTAGATTGGAAGTTATTGAACTTGTAAGATCTGACTTTTTAGGCTTTATGTTTTTCACCGGAACAACTCCAAATGTTCCCGTTTCGTCTGTGATGTTCTGTAATCCATGTTTTCCACTTCTTTTGCTCTCTTTTATGCATGAATACATGTTTTGACACCAAAGAAAGCAACCAAGCAATATCGAGACCAAATTACTCTAGAATGCCTATAAATATGCAAAACCGAGTAAAATGCACTAGGTATCCTATACCAAAATGTCACCAATATATATGTTATCACTAGGTCATCCATTCTTAAATTGTTCTAGAACTAACACGTTTAACTGAAAAGATAGGTATACTTTGTTGTTATAAGTAGATCAACTAGTTCTTTTTAAGTTATTTTACACCGTATACTCTCATACATATATAGATCTCGAATCTCTCTAATTCATATGTGTTTGATTCATTCCCTTATTCTTATGCCTAGTAGTATTTAAGGAATCGCTCCTTATCCGTGTCATTTGAACCGATGATCACTCACAACCCTTATCATAGCTCAGGATATCACACGTATGCATAGAAACTCGCAGTTCTTGAGATAGAAAACTTGCTAATTTATTTGATTTAATTATTCTTATGACTTCTTGACTCATGTGACTAGCTAACTTTATTTGGAAAACTTGAAAACCCTTACTCTATTTGGAAGTCTCCAAACTTTAAATAACATCAAATTCCAAATCAAAAAACATAACTTAACATATCATTCTTATTTTGCCTGTTGAATTTTCTAGTGTCTTGACCTTGATTCATAATTACCTGGTGATTCGGTTCTAGGGTTCAATTAGTGGAATATAAACATAAATTTTTTTTCGCCCAAGAATACAATATGCATGTTAAAGATCTCAAAAAACGAGACACTAACCTTTTGAATCGATGAGATTTAACTACACAATTAATGGCTTGTAGATATGTAGATTCAAAATAATCTATAGGTGTTGAAGAGTATAAACCCCTATACAGATATCCATTTGATGCATTAGAATCTAACTCTTTAGATGATGTCTAATAGGATTAGAGACTCTCTTATGTGCTAGAATTTCTAAGAAGTTAGGATTTTGTTTTTGGATCTTAGAATTGTTCTAAAGTCGTAAGTCAACATACCCTAGATATTGAAAATGAATCCTTTTGATAAGCACTTTCGAAATCCTATTTATTTTTTTTTTGTAAGATTCACGATTTTTTATAAATGAAACTCAAATCAATTTTCTTTTAAAGCGGTTCAATTTAAGTTAGGATATCTAATTTAAATCGGTACGAGTTAGTCTAACTCAGTCTGATTCAAAATTGGATCGATTCGAGTTAGTTCTAACTCGATCTAGTTTAAACTTTTGAGCAAAAATCTGATTTTTTTTTATCAGAACACCAATTCGATCATTAATCTTTAATTAATTGACAATATCGAACTCTTAACTTAAACTTACATAGGTTATTTGTTCATCCCTTTTTGTGTGATCCTATAGGTTTATTCGACACGATAGTAGTCTCAAAATTCAATTTCCGGGTACAAATCAGAAGTGGCATCTAATAAGACATTATGACTATCCTTACAGAATACAGTTAGAGATAATTTAACCAAAAGACAATTGTAACTTAAGCAATGATTCTTTTGTCACTCAATATCATTTGTCGAACATAAGGTATAGAGTCAACCACCTTATCTGATTTGACTATTTTTTTCGTTCATTAAACAAACCGTAAATAATATATGATAATCATTTATAGCAGAGCCATAAATTTCTGCAGCTCTATTCATTCGAGAGTTCCAAAGATATCTCTCTTTTTATTATCTATAATTCTATATATTATTCGTAATATACCTCAACAACGTCGTTATCTCTCTCATTTTCAATCAGCATGTCACGAACTTTCTTTTTCATTAGTCGTCTTTTTCACAGGAGACGCATCCAAAACTGAAATCAAAAAGTTTTTACTACCTATGTCTAATAATTTATTGATATATATGGGGTGACCAGTAAGCAGTCACCCGCAATCGTAGCGATTGCGACTTTTAGCGATTACGGACGATTGAAAAAGTGATTGTTGAAATCGCAATCGTCCGCAATCGCAACAAAACATCAATATTTTAATCGCAGGTAAAAGATTGCGTTACGATAGCGTTTTGCAGCGTTTTGATTAAATAACCAAAATACCCCTAATATTAATTAATATATATACATACATATCATATTATATATATAAAGAACTTACGTATGCATATATATACATGAAATATATAAATACATACACATATAATACATATATACATACATACATATATACATACAAACATACATATATATACACAAACAATCATATTTACATACATACATCTATACACACATACACATACATCTATATATATATATACATACATAAATATACACATATATATATATATACACAAAAAACTAATTAAAAATATTTAAAAATGATTAATATTGTATATAATAAAATGATATTTTTTTTGTAATTTAAACCAAATCGCAATCGTAATCGCTGTCAACCAATCGTTCTAAATCACAATCACTCGTAATCGCTATCAACCGCAGTTTTTCTACCAGTTAGTACCAATTGCCTAAAATGCCTGCAATCGTCGGGATTGCGATTGCAATTCCACCAGTCAACACCATAGAAGAAGGTGTGTTTGTTGGATCTTGAACATAACTAAAATATTGGAATAAAAATTGTAACATTTTGAACTTGCTATTTCCATAAAATCAAATTATATGAAGTAAAAGTTCATTAAATATCCTCTAACATTAATCAAAATAAGAAATTATGTGTTTTTGTCTTACAATTGTCACATTTGGTTTAGATAACAAAAAAGAAAGAAAAAAGAGAGAAAGATATATCGGTCCTGAATATATTATAAATAAATAAAATATCAAAACGAAAGCATGTTTATATAAAATTATAGAAATCATGATTATGATGGATTATATAATATATTATGTAATGATTACATAATATCTTCCAGCCATCAGCTATGTAATAATGGCGACTCATCAATCCAACTAATTATTTGTAAAAAAATACAGCTCAACCCCAAACCACCTTAATGGCAAAGCATGTTTGACATATGTATATACACACACTAGACACATATACATACATACTTGTGTATATATATATATAGAATTCCAACTAATTTAACTATAATCTAATCACCTAAATCATTATCTTTAATCGGATAAAGATCCTTTACAGTTGTGTTTTCTTCCTTCAAGATTGACCAAAAGAAAAAGAGAAAGACAACTGTTGGAATGAACCCAAGAAAAGAAATGGGATTTAACAGCTAAGCTAAGCATAATTAAGTCACTGTGTTAATCCACCAATTACTTAATTAATTACCTGTTAATTAAGACGAGTCAATTATGTGGAAAAAAACATACAAAAATATATTGGGGGGACATGAATAATTGACAAAGAAACAAAATCCACCGAACGCTGTCTTTTTCTTTTTAGTTTCTCTCTCTCTATCTTTATATATTTATCCTTTCGAATCAGATAAATGGCAACAAATTCAAAATTTGTGGAAAAGATTCAAAAATTTTGAATATAGAAAAAATTTCAGATTTTGACCCTTTTATATAATTTTGTTTGAATACTATATCATCTTCAAATTGTTAATCACCGCATCTTGTTAAAGGATGTTGGATTCTGCTTCTAGAAATCAAGATATAGATTTTTAAAAAATGTTTTGAAAGTTTTAAATATTTTTGCCCTCGCTGATTTAGATTTTCTTCTGTCTTTTTGGTGTAAACGCAAAAAATATAAATATAAATACACAGATGCAAAAAGAAAATATATACAGCTTTTTTCTAATTTATTTTTTATATTCTCTTTCACTTTAAAAGAAAAGAAAAGCCAATTCATCTCCATCTCTTTGGTCCCCTCATTTACAAGCTACCATTATTTTCCATCTTTCTTCTTCTTTCTTCTTCTTCTTCTTCTTCATCATCATCATCATCTTCAGTTTTAAGCCTCTGAGTTTGGTCTGATTCCGACAAGAGCACAAAGAACACAACAATGGCGTTTGCAGGAACTACCCAGAAATGTATGGCCTGTGACAGAACCGTTTACCTCGTCGACAAGTTAACTGCCGACAACCGTGTTTATCACAAAGCCTGTTTCCGGTGTCATCACTGCAAAGGAACTCTCAAGGTAAAAGCGAACAACTTTGGGTTTGATTCTGCTTTCTCTTTCCATTCCCTCTTCTGGGTCTGTTTATCAGATGAAAGTCTGAAAGGAAGTAGAATCTTGGATTTGGTGTCTTATATGCCGAAGGATCTGATGTGAGAGATCTGTCTGCAACGCAGGAGATGGAATCTTGGGTTATGGGTTTTGGTTAGCATTTGGAATCTCTGGTATTTGAAAATGAATCTGATGAAACAAGATTTGATTTGCGGATTAGGAAGCAGAATCTTGAGATGGAATCTCTGGTATTTTGTTCAATGAAAGATGAATCAGAAGTGAAAAGATCTCCCTTCTTTGCAGCTTAGCAATTACAACTCATTTGAAGGAGTTCTCTACTGTCGGCCACATTTCGATCAGCTCTTCAAGAGAACCGGAAGTCTTGAGAAAAGCTTCGAAGGTAAAATATCTAAAACTCAATAGACAGAGCACAAATGGTAAAATGTGATATAGCACTTGTTTTTCCTCTTTCAACAATCAAGAATCTAAAGTTTGGTTCATGTTCTGTCTTTGACCATACAGGGACACCAAAGATCGGAAAACCCGAAAAACCAGACGGAGAGGTAAATTCCGCACCGACGTTCTTGATGATCTTGTCGCTCGTCGTGATTCTCTTCTAACGTTTGATCTGAGGGTTTTGACAGAGACCTGCGGCGAACAAAGTGTCGAGCATGTTTGCAGGGACCCGAGAAAAATGTGTTGGCTGCGACAAAACTGTGTATCCCATCGAAAAGGTCAGAATCCCAACAAAACCATCAAATATGGGTATGTCTTGTCTGAATCAACCTCCAACAAACTGTAAAATGATCATGGACGCCATTTTTAAATGTCTTGAAGGTGTCGGTGAATGGAACTCTGTACCATAAGAGCTGCTTCAAGTGCACACATGGAGGATGCACTATCAGCCCATCGAACTATGTAGCTCATGAGGGCAAACTCTACTGCAAGCATCACCATATTCAACTCATCAAGGAGAAGGGTAACTTGAGCCAGCTCGAAGGCGATACTGCCACCAAGGAGAAAATGGCTGCTTAGACTACGGAATTCCTCTGTTTTACTAGTAATCGTGAACAGAGTTTCACCATCTTCTGCTTCATTTGTTTGCTGTTTTCTTGGTATTTTCACTCCTATCTTTCCATCAATATGCTTATCAGATTTCTTTGGGTTCTTGAGATAAACGATGTGGTTGTATGCTTCTGAGAAATTCCACTGTATTGGCCATTGAACCTCTGCTTCACTCTAGTAATCAAATCATAATCTTGGGTCAAGTATCACCATCTTCTGATTCATTTGTCAGCATTCTGAATCTTCCCTTCCTTTGAAACACAATCCTTCTTCCAGTTTTCTTCCGGTTTAGCATCTATATGGATACAAATGTAGCAACTTTGCCAAAAAAGAAGAAGTTTTTATCAGTTAATCATCAAAGAGGATCTTGTAGAACCGTTTCCTCTCTTCCGGATCAAACAGGCCGTCACGTTTATCCTCGCCATTGTCTCGTTCATTTTCGTCATCTTCATCAAGAATCTTGTCTTTCCTTTTCACGAATTCGATGCCTTTCTTTCTTTTCTTCTCCAAATTCACCAAATGACGCCTCCGGTTATATTCATGCAACCCTTCTTGCATCAGTTCACCAAATTTATCCTTCACAACCACAAGAGGGTCCTTGTGAATCAACTCCGAACCATTGTAGCCTTCCCTAAGAAGCACTGTGTAGATCCGATACTTGTTCGAGACATAAAACATATCCGGATGTTTCAGAAGCAGAACATTCAGCTTCTCCGGCAAACAAAACTCTCTCTTGAAATGACCCAGCTTTATAATCGACAGCTTCTTCCACATTGTCAGCGAGAGCAATTCGTGAACCAAACCAACTGTTCTCTTCTTCATCTCCTTTGAACCTTCGACCAAGCCCGTTGGATCTGAGTAAGGGGAGATGTAAGGAGAAGCATTGAACTCTCTAAATCTTTCCCACGATTTCGTCCATGTAGATGGCAAGCAACACGAGAAACTAGGCTCGATGCCAAGCTCCATGGCTGCAGATTCCACAGCAGAAACCGCCAATTCGGGCTTCCAAGACAAGAGCTCAATCTCCATTGAGCTCTTCCTCCCGGTGTAATTAACCAACCGAAACATATCAGAGTACTTTGGTAATATCCTGACAACATAGTCATCAGGGAAGCCATAACTACGTTTCAACTCATTAAGCTTCACGACATTCATCCTCTGATTAACGCTCATCATGAGAAGCTTAGCCAATCTCTCAGCAAACACAGGCTCTTGCTGTTCTTTCACCAACTCTTCCTCCTCTACCAATTCCAACATCCGCTTAGTTAAACGACAATAGTGCTGGTCATTCTCGAGATACACATCGAAGCAACAAGGATATTTCTTGAGCCAGTTCAAAGCTTTCCCCTGCAGATCGAGGGTCTTGAACTTCTTCTGAAGATGTTTAACGGTCGCTGCCTGATCCGGACATCTTAAGATGATGTTCTTGATCTGATTGTTAACTATCCATCTCCTGTTTCTAGAGAGGGCGGATTCGAGATCAGGCTCTTTCTTCATTGACCAGAGAGAGAATCTACGGATGCAGAAAGGAAGAGACTTTGACAGATGTGACGTAGCAGCAACGTAAGTACCCAAGCTTTGAAAAGATTCTCCGAGCCTCGCCATCTTGTTGCTTCGGAGAATTTCCCCAGAAAATCAACAGAGAATGACGATATGAACCAATCTAAAATAACATAAAAAAAAAGGTTCCATTTTTTTTTACGTCTTATATTCAGATTTCTTCAACAATCAGACCTTTGCCTTCAGATTCTCACCGATCCCGACAGTGATGTCGAAGATTCTTGTCGATCGAGAGAGAAGTAGACATAACCTGTGGTGACTAGGGCAAGGATTCGCCCCTCCACACTCGGAGAGAAACTACAGATTCACAGTGTGTGTATATATACATACACTGTGTATATGTATATATCTTCACGATAAATGAGAAGAAGCAACTTTGAGGTTCTTATACATGGGCTTGAATGGGCCCATATATTGGGAATTTTATGACAGAAATATTTTTGGGGTTTTCTCCAATGAGTTTTAAAACCCCTAAATCTTCTAGGATTTCATTTCGGTTTTCCATATTTCGGATATGTTTTTTTTGGATTTTTAAAATATCACAACTAAATAGTTATTAAATTTAAATCCACACGAGTACAAAACAATTCGATTTGATTAATTTGGATGATAACTATGAAACGTTATAGTTGAACAATAATCAAATTAAAATTTGAATTGATTATAAACAATCAAGGACCAAACACAAAGCAAATAAAATTTTTGTGGTTTGAACCCGATTCGTCTAACTGATTTTTTGTGTAAACAACTGAAGTGAAAGTGTATATTAAACCAAAACCATCTTAATTTAGTTTTTAAATATAATTGTGGAATAGTGTAAAAATACGATATTTAAGCATATTTCCAAGATGAAACAATAAAATTCAATATGTAAATTAACTCTATATGCTATATGAATGATTTTTTTAATGATATTTCTAACTGTGATTAGAAAAAGAGAGAGAGTAATAGTAAAACACCGTTTAGTTTATACTTTTAATATCCCATATATTTCTAAAAAAAATATTGATAGTGGAATTGCATTTTGATGTTACGAAAACGTCGAAACATAAAATCGTTACGTACTTATTTGCAACCATAGAAGCTCTTAAATGACAATATTAATCAACGGAATGTTTTACCTGTGTCGATTTAAAATGCATACTTTACAGCTTTGCATCATTAGCGAGTTAATTGCATCATTAGCAAGTTAATTATCTATTTTTTATGCTTATCTAAAACACGTACCATGTAAAATTATTTCGTGAAAGCGATGAAGACCCAATTTCACGTATAAATTATCAGGAACTTTGGTGCAGGAATTGGGAAATTCGGTTTCGGATTAACACTAACACGCTCCTATATAAGCACTACACCTCCCATATATATCAAACTGCATCACCAATGAATCCTAAACTCGATTATCAACGTTCCAAAGCCAAAGCTCCCTTCTCATGAGAACTGGGGCCTGGAGTTTCAAGTCGAGAAGACAAAACTGGAGAAATCTGGGAGAGACAAGGGAAGCTTCCGCCACCGCCATGTCAGACACAGACAGAGGGGTTTCATGGCCATATGCATTACAGTGATGATGTTTCGGTGTGCCCTCTTGTTATCTGTCCATTTGAAGCCTTCGTTTAAGGTTTCAAAGTCGAGTTTCAGGAAGAATGAGGATGGCCCTTTCCTTGAATCTCTCAGAAAATGTGAAGAATTCAGTCCGAATGGATCAGATCGTCTTTTTAAAGAAAACGATGTCTAAGAATGGAATAAAAGTATGAGGAGACGACGAGGAAAAGGTCTTTGGTTCTTGGCTTATTGGGTAAATACTCTTGCAAGGTTGGTACAGATGGTTTCAAGACTGTCTCTGAAGTTTGTAAACTGATACCGAACCAGAGGAAGGATGTGAATCAAAGTGTTTCCATGTAATGATTCAGTTTGAGATTGTATATTGTGTTTGCATTTCTTTTATGATTCAGTTGTAATCATATGAAGTCTTTGTGAAAATTTAGATTGATTCAACAAGCAAAACATGAATGTGATATCTTAATTAGGAAACTGTTAATATGTTCGAATTTCTGAAGGCTGTTTCTGCATTGTCCATGCGCAGCATCAGAAACATACATTAAGGCCTTTGTTTCTGCATCTACAAAAATAAAAATAAAAATTATCCTAAGGAGATTTTGGATATTGAGACCTTAGTTTCTGCAATTTGGATTTGAATTCACTGTGAAAAGACATGAGTGAGTTCTGCCTGTTAGCAAAAGCAGTGCTGAATTGCTTAATCTCTTCTTCCATATCTTTCCTTCTCTTCAGTTCCACGTTAAGATCCTTCAATACGTTCTCCTTCTCATCTGCCACCATTCTCCATCTTTGTGATGCTTCTGCAACTAACGAGTCCCGTTCTTCCTTCAAGAGCTGCAACTCTTTTTCCAGCATGCTGTAGCTTTCTTTCGAATCCTCCAAAAGCTGCTTACTGAAATGTGAATTCTTCTCCAGCTCATTGTACTTCTGCTTGATGGTGTTGAGTTCATCATTCAGTTTCTCCTCCAAAGAAGCCATCTCTCTTCCAGCAGCACAGCCCTTAAAAGCACATCCAAAATCTGTCTTAGAGAGGAGAAAAATAATCTGACATACCATTCTCAAACATGGTTTACTTTCCGTCCTTATGTCTGGCAACCTGGCATGGAGCTCCAATGAGACATGTGCATTACAGAGGAATTCCTTTTAGCTGGAAGTAATCACAAAGGCTTATATGTTTACTCCGATCCGACATCAATAGAGGATACAAACAGTGGGACAGGGTTAGAATTTTTATTTTATCTTTTTCCGTTAAAGCAATCCAAGTTAGATGAAATGAAGAAATCAGTTTCATGAATACTTTTGATGATGTGATCTATGAGAGGAATGGTTATATGGTAAGGTTCTATGGAACATATGTCAAAAATGGAAAATGAGAGCCCCTTGTCCTCATATCTCTGTATGGTGAAAATAGAACTTGAAAACCGGTTTATCACTGTAATGCAAACGGATCATAAAAAAGCAAATACTGAAACAACCATATGAAACGATTCCCTGAAGCTATGGAGTAGTACTAGTACTAGAAAATAGAAAATCAACCAAAAATATTTCACTCTATATTTGTAAATTACCAGGAAGAGAAAACCCATTTATTAGATATAACTGTAACTCAGGTTTCAACAGATGCAGAGGTTACTGAACTAAAGACCTTATCAGAGAGGCTATATATCCTACAACCACAACTGAAAATAGAAATACAATAGGTGGACGATATCGTGACGATAGTGAAGAGGAGTCTACCTTCTTGTGGCAATTAAGAAGCTGGTCTCTTGCTTGTGGATCTGATAGCAGACATGTGACTTTGCTCTTCATTCTCTCGTGAAGTGTTTCCCAGAGATCTTTAGATGAATATGAACAATTGTTGGCAGTAGCTGCAATCTGACCATCTAATACCTCTAAAAATTGTGTTTCCAGAGTCGAGAGAAGGCTCCTTGTGACTTCAGTTGTACCAAAGAGTAGTTTTGAGGTTGGAGATTCCTCGTCGGGGACAAAGCTCTGCCAAATTGCCAAAAGAAAAAACTTGAACTATGTCGTTTTATTGATACTTCAAAGTAGATCACAGTAGAAAAAGCATATAACTTACTTTCATTGTGAACAAAACATCCTTGTAGATATCTCTGCAATGGGCAACAGATCCAAACAACCTTTTCGGGACTTCTTTCATGTGCAGTGCTTCTTGTTTGAGCTCAGAAATCTCTTCCTTCAATTGGTTGTTCAGAAGTACTTGTTCATCGTGTTTTCTCTGAGAATACATGAATTGACGCACAAATAGGCAGTACGACCGCATTTTATCAGTTCACATAAGTGTTAGAAGGCAACAATGGCAAGAAGCAAGTTGTATGAAGCCTTAAGCAACAGAAGTCGAAGTAAATGAAGAATAAAATGGAAAACGAAGGCGTAACTAATAACTTTCCTGCTGCAAGACCTGTGCTAGATAACAAGCTTTGCACTTTGAGTTTTTGTTAATTAAACAATTCCCTGAATTTTCAAGGAGGTAATCCAATAAAAATTCAAGAAGACCAAAGGAATGCCACAGCTCAAGGCTCTATCCAGTAAATTTGTCGAACATCAAATCAAATTAGAAATAAAATTAAAATGTGCCTAAGGTGTCAGTTAAAAAAATCTGACAAAACAATCAAAACTAACCTCAAGATTGTCCCTCTCTTTGGTCAGCAATTCAAACTGCTTTCTAAGATTTTCCATGTCTTCTTTGTAATTTTCATGAAGACATTCCTGAAACAGTAATAAACGCATTGAGACCAGCTTACAGCACATACTACAGTTTCTCAAACTCCTCATCATTTTAAAGGAAGTGATAATGGAAAAACTAAGAATGATACTCAAACCAGAAAGGAAACAGCAAATAAAAGCTTGGCTCCATTACATGCACTCAATAATGACCATTCAATGTGGTTCTGTGAGTTTTTCATGTACAAATAATAATTTACTGCTACGAGAATAAAAAGTGTGATGTAAATAATGAACTCACCTTTGTTGCAATACTTGACGGACTGGATTGAACTTTGCTGAAAGGAGTAAACTGGAGCTTATCAAGATCTGCTTTATAACCCTTATTTATTTTCATCCATGTGTCTTCGTCAGCCACATTTTCGAAATCAACCAGAGGGCTGAAATCAGACAATCCTGAATAATTTGACCGCGCAACCACAAAGGATTTGGAAGCTGATCTAAAGCAAGGTGTATCAGGAAATTCTGAGCTATCATTTCCATTGCAATCCTCATTTGATGTACGTCCCAAACTAATGAATTCCTGCAAATAAAGGCAAAACACTGAGCAAGACTTTCGGAAAAACAAAGACATCTGGGTAGCAAATCAGCTTATGGATAGGATTTCCGTCACACAAAACCTAATGAAGAGTGAAGAGTTTCTATTGTTGAATTGATACTACTCAACACAGTTTAGGGATTGGATTTATGTTTGAATTGAAACCAAGACTGATTATAGTTGTTGACCTTGTGTCCAGTTTTAAATCCTTAAAAATATGTATAGATGAAATGGTTAAGCAACATCATACCAAACAGTAGTTTTAGTGAAATTGAAATTCCCATATGGGAACAACCCAAGATCCGAGGGACATTACTCAGGCATCCACTATGTTATATCCATACCTCAGACTGGTTCCTCCTAAGGTCTGAATTTGAGACAAGATTACTGAGATTGTCTATTTTCACTTGTTGCTCCTTGATGCGGTGTTCATATTCCTTTTGTGTTCTCCTCTCTTCTTCTAGTTGGGCCTCGAGTCTTTCACACTCTAACTCATACTGAGAATCAAAAAACGAAAAGGTCTCTTGTTCTCAGTGTTCTGGTCCACATAGCACTCAATGTATGCAATAGTAAAACATCGAAAAGAAAACTACCTTGAGCATCTGATTTCTTAACTTTAAGATTTCTTGTTCCAGCACCTCAGCATGGGATCCCTACACATTCCACCAGTATCAGTATCCTCTCAAGTCAGATTTAAAATATTAATGTGACTATCACCACCTGTAGTTTCATTCGCAGCTCTTCAATCTCTAATTTTTGCCGCTTCAATAAAGCTCCATCGGTCAAGATCTGATGAAGCATTTCTACAGAGTCAGATTTTGTATGGTCTAAGTGGGGAAACAGGAAGATATAACAAAGGACGCAACACGCATGGGAGAAGAGAACATGTATAACAGTATAACAGGAATCTATTTGCAAGGTACAAAGGAGAATGTATAAAAGTGACATAACAATGATAACATGAATGCAGGTAAAGTCTACAAACCACCAGAATTCAGTCAATTTAAAGATTTACATGCAGACCTCATTCACTTGAGCACAATTGGTGATTCGTTTGGCTCTGCTGGCAAATTGGAGGGTTCCTTTGGATTCCTCAATATGATCCTACATGCATCAGCATGTCATCAGATGAGATAGATATCTTGCATTTTTGTCCCAGAAGATCAATAAGAGCATAAACACTAAAAGTCTGACCAAATAAAACAGAGTACCTCTTCTGGTGCAACAGTACATATAATACAGGTCTTAGCATTACCACCAAGTGCAGGTTGAAGAATACGAGTCAGCTTGCTATCACGGTATGGGATATGTGCTCTATAACAAGGATGAATCAAGAGATCTTACATGTAGAGTATGTCAAAATGTTTTAGAATCAAGAGTAAGAAAATACCTCTGCTTTGCACCATCACTTAGTTTGTTGATGACATTTCCAAGAATCATTAGGCTCTTATTAATGTACTTCCCCTCCTTCAAGCGAACTCCATCAGCGCCGGTTTTAGCAATACGCTCAGAGCCAGCCAAGTCAACCAAATTCTAGGATCCATTATGGAAATAGAAACATGCTCATATTTGAGAATCGAAGGAGAAGTAACTAACTTAAGCAAAGATTGTAATAGGAAGCTTTTTAAAAAATGGCAGTTAACCAAATAGCAATAACTGACCAAAACTGAGACTCGGATGGCATCAGAAGAGCTGTTCTCTTTTCCCTTGCTCTCAATCACCTGTCATATCATAGAAATGGCATCAGAGCGAGGACTTTGGTCTTGAAGAAAGGTTGTGTTCACAGCTTTTGAGCCATTACCATTCTGAAGATTGTGTGAGACCTGCTACTGCGAATGTTCATGTTTGTTTCGCCAAAGTGCCTATTAACTACAGTGACCAAGAAAACTGTGTCAGAGACAAATAGGACAAATCACATTTGTAGAAAAACAAATGTTTCATGGTTTGTGTTTGACTTAAGACCTTCTCCAGCATCAATAAGCTTTAGAATCTGCTCAGCATCATTGACAATTTCCTCCTTGAGACCCGTGACAAATATACCACGCTGCAAAGCACGAGAAGCTGGTGTTGTTCATTCAAAAAAAAGCTAATTGAGAATATATCCACTTGTGAAGATCAACCAACCTCGAAATTTTCATGGATTTGCAATTTCTGGTTCTCAACAGCTAAAAGATCATTGATTTCTTCGTTGTAAATCTCCATATACGAAACCCGAATTAGAAACTCTCGATCAGATATCTGGAAAGGCAAAAAGTGAAACAAATGAATTAAGAATTGATTTGTTCTATCTAGAACATGGAGTTCCTGTCACATAACTCTGCACGTACAGTCTTTATTCGCTCGAACACATCTCTGACTGCCCTGTGAATTATTCCAGGATCAGTTTCAGAACCCTTCATGGTAAACGTCTTTCCACTACTTGTCTGTCCATAAGCAAATGCAGTACCTGTACAACATAACACAAAAAAAAAAAAAAAAGAAAGAAAGCAGACCCGTTGCTAAGTGCTTCTCAAATTTAGCATATTGAAAAACCAGATATAACAAAGGCAAGCCTATAACATCTACTGGAAGGCACAATTCCTCCAGTAGTCCTATACTAATGGCTTGAGCAAAATAAAACGCTCATGAAACAATCATCACATTTGCAGGGAGAAAAAAACAAATCCGCGGAAAACACCAAGAAACTTGAGATGCATTTCCTGCGACTCTGTAAACTTCATACACCATCAGAAAAGCAAGGGTGTCATTGAAAAATCGAGGAAATCGTTTCTGAAGAAAAGGGCAAAGCATGCAATGTATACAGGAAACACTAAGAATTGAATTTGAGGGACCACGAGAAACTCTACAAGCAAGTTGAAGAAGAAGATTGCACCCCAAAATCACTGATAGTTCCATACATCAAATCCACCGAAATGTGGGGAATTTTTTTTACCCAGAACAAAATTACCACAAATTATGGAGCTTTGAATTACCATTAAAACCATCGACTGCGGCATGGATAATATCCCTGGTAAGAAGCTCGTAAACCCTGGCATTCGTACAAGTTTCGTCGAACACATGATCTACAAAAAACGAACGCCAAGAGTTATCACAGCTCGCAAAACCCAATCGAATCAAAAACCTTGAGATCTACAGAGAATCAGGAATTCGTACCAAAAGCGTAAGAGACGTTGGAGATTGGAGTGTCAAGGGACTTGTAAAGAGAGATTCGATTGTCTTCGACTTTCCAGTGGACAGCTCCATTTTCCGGATACTTTTCCGGCGCCGGTGGTCTCACCCTCACAGCCACACAGATCTTCTCCATCCGATCCGAAATCGCTTTGGTCTTGACCTGAAGACGTCTCTCTTCGAATCTGTCAAAGTGACAAGTTTGAGTGAAGAGAAGCGGGCTGCTGGGCTCGTTTCAAGCACGCGAGGAAATTTTTGAACGTTAATGAAATTACGAAAACACCCTCACAAGGGAATAAAATAATTATATTTCCTATTTTTTTCACGAAATTATTATAATTGATCTTTGCTAAAAATGCATCGTTAGGGTTTTGGATGAGTGTCAGATTACTTGTGATTTCAATTTCATCAATAAGAATATGGTTTTTCTTAAACAATATATATATTCAATGACGGACCCAAAAAAACATATAATTGGAGGCATAAATTTAATTTTATTATGGAAAATTTTAATTTAAGGGAATATTTAATAATTTTGTTCAAAATTTTATAAAATCTACAATGAAATTAAAAAATTTTAATTAGATGAATGTAACGATCGAATGGGAATTTTGGCATACCGTTTAAAGTGTTATCGTTTATGACTTAAAAATCATGAATTCAAATGAATTACATGTAGATCTGTCTATATCTATACGTTTTGACATCAGTGTTTCCCATTAGAATCTGATATAAAAATCGAATAAATAGAAATTCAATTGGCTCCAAATTATACATCTATCTTTCAATTTGAAAACCTTAAACCCCGACCAGAGATCTAAATATATATTGGCCTATGTAAAAATTGCTTTCAGAGTATAAATACGTCTGGTGAATAGCTTCTACATACATCAATTCAATATATGGGTTTCCTTATTTATTTTAAAGGATTTTAATTACACTCGCACACAAAGTCTCAAATATATATTGTTCAAATTTATGATTTTTTAAAAGGAATTTAAGAGCTATAACTGTTAGATAACGAAGCTTGATCTTGGATTTCTTTTTATTTCTTTTACAACTCTCTCTTTTTTTTTTTTTTTTGTAAATGCGATACCCCCACATCTTTTTTTTTTCTTTCGAAAAAAGCAAATTTCTTTTACATTTTCTCCTTTTGAATGGATATTTGCGTCTTTCTTATAGCTTATCATGCTTATACACATAGGTATATTATATAAATATATATATATATATATATATATATATATATATATATCAAATCTGCTTTTTTCATGCATGGAAAAACTTTAATCGATACGGTGGGACATGGAAAATCAAGATAAGCAAAGGCGTTGCATGCATCTGATAATATGAACAGCCACAAAGGCCCTGCCGCTTTCGGACATTTCTTCCGACATTTTATAGTCACCCAAAAGAAAATCACGGCAGCTGTTCGTTCACTTGCCTTTCTTGCAATGGCATATACAGATGTGTATCTATTATTTGCCATATACTTCTAATTCTCTATAGATAAATATGGGAAATTATTGAGGAATATATAGATTTTTCATCATTTTAAATAGTAAATAATAATTTTTAAGGATATAAAATATATGAGTGCCTTGCCAAATTCGTCCGAAATTTCGATGATGAATTTGCATTTCCCGTTTTCATAATCAGATTCTTACCGTTTAAAAAACCCGTAATTATGTTCAAAATTGCGACGGAAATCGGTTTGCATCAATTTTTTTAACAATTCATTTTTTCGCCATATCACGAACATTTAAGGAAATTCCGTATAATAAAGATGTGGACCGACAATTGAGAGAAAGAGAATTTCTAAAGTTTATATATATATATATATAGAGAGAGAGAGAGAGCATGCATTTTATAAAAGGACAAACAGATTTCGACTCGTATTTTGATCTAGTTTTTTCCATCGCATGTCATGGGTCCAACGCATGTTCTATGCTCCAAAAAAATTTTATATATAGTTTGAGAAACGTGTGACCATATATAGACGACGATTTAAATAACGAATTTTGAGTAATTTAGAATCGATTTTAATGTTTGTATATCGGTAATATTGGTGTTTCCCTTTTTTCTCGTTAGTGGGTGTATTTTTGAAATTAGAATGCATGCACGCACGCACGCACGCACATTTCATAAAGGCTTCCTCTTTCGTTACGCCATTCTAGTATGGGACTTTACGTTAGTTTTTCTTGGCCTTTATATATATATATATGCGTGTGTACTGTGTAAGGTGTTCGAAAATAGCACTGAAATTAATTTAATTATTTACATTAATTTATATACAATTTTAAAAATAATGTTAATTTTTTTAAAATAAACCAAACGAATGTTTCCTAAGTTTTGCACGTTCATGTAAAAAAAAACAACGGTTTAGAAGACGCCTACATTTGTTCCTAGTTGATAAACAAAATTTGCCAAGTCTCTAGGTGGGTAGATGATGATATTTCACGTAGCAGCCATATCAAATTCGACGGTCCAACTCGGATGTAAAATACTGAAATATTGCCCTTGTTATTTCAGAGATTAACGATTTTTTTAAATAATATTCGGATTAATACACTGCGAGATAGAGAAAAGAAAAGAAAACATAGCATGACCTCATAATCAAAGCCCATGGAAATCATATGTAATTTACGTAGGACATCAATTAAGTCATGTATATATAGACTTTACCAAAAAAAAAAAGAAAAGAAGTCATATAGACAAAAAAAAAAATGTGTCAAAATTCTTCAACGGTTTGAAGATTGGTCAAGTATGTGACTTTTGCATGTTTATTAAAACCCGGTACAGCTTCAAAAGCCTGATTTTGAGGCAAACCGATTCGGTTTTCAACCGGTTATTCTCCCTCGATACATCGTTGCCGTATCTTAAAACAATGTCCAACCGATTCTTGAGCTCTCGGTTCTCGAAACTTAACCGGTTCACTTCCTCGGTTAAGTTCTCCAACCATCTCTTCTTTCTCAGTCTTGATCTCTTAGCCGATTCCCGGTTTGATATCATTCGTCTCCTCTTCCTCTCATCAACCGGTTGGACCTTCCGGTTTATTTCTCCGGAACCAGAATTCGTACTCAACGGTTCTTCCGATTGGAGAATTGCCAGAAGCTCTTCAAATTTATCGCATGTTATCTCGGTACCAGCCGAGGGATCATAAACCCGTTCTTGGGCTGAAAACATTGGCTGAAATGAAAAAAAAAAACACGGCTTAGTCGGTAACCGGTTATTGCAAAGTGAACCGGGCTGTGAAAGGGAAGGAGAAAGGGGAAGTACTGAGAACAAATGAGACCTTATTTATATAGGGGGATAAGGTGGCAACATGTGGGACCCATAAAGGGTACTTTCGTCAAAATAAAAAGAAGCATTGTGTCAGAGTAAATCTAAGGGTAAAGAGATTAATGGCAATGTTTGTCCGCTAGCTGCTTGGATAAAAGGATTATATTTTTGTAACATGATTTTATTTATTTTTTTTCTTCTTTTTAATTTGGTTAGTGGTTTTAACTTTCTCGCACTACTTTGATATATATATATATAGAGAGAGAGAGACATATATAAATATATACAGTGTTATATATAATGTCATTGTATTTTGGTTGAAATGCGTTATATATATAAATAATGTCATTATATTTTTGCAACATCATCTTATAACTTTTATTTGCTTCTTTTTAATTTGATTAGTGGCTGTAAGTTTCTCGCACTACTTTAATATATGTATGTATAATATCATTGTATGTTGATTGAATATCTAGTTCTAGATTCTATAACGTTAATTATAAAAAAAAATGATTTGCTTTTGCTCTGTCTAGAAATTGGACTTCTTTTGTTATCTCAGTGCAAGTTCGAATTTTTCGTAATCAGTTTTTGACAAATAATTCTTTTTCGAAATCCCAAATGTATATAAAATTTTGCTATTACATGAGGGATAAAACGGTAAATTGTGCATAGGACAATTAGGTTTAGTTAATTAAGTTGTGGTACATCAATAATATTCCATGTAATTGATTTTTTTATTGGTGAAGATTAAGATCTGTTGTTTATTGGAATAGAATAAAGATATATAATATATTTTTTCGGTTATTAAAATATTAAAATCTTAAATTTAAATTCTAAAATTAATCTAAACTTTGGTAGCCAAAATACTCCGTTATAGGAAAGAAAAGATAAGGTTTAGTTTGGATGGAAATTTCCGATTTAGATTCGGTTTCGATTCGGTTATATTCGGATTCGGTTATTTTGGTTATAAAAAATTTGATTTTTATATAAATTTGGTTCTGTTCCGATTCGATTTTTTTTGTTATAAAAAACTCATTTTTCAAAGAAACTATCGGTTTTTTGGGTTATTTTTTAAATCGGTTCGATTCGATTCGATTTCGGATTTTTCGGGTTTAAAAAAATCATAACCGTTCGGTTTTTATATCGAATTCGTTCAATTATGGTTATATCGTATTCGGTTTGGCTATTTAGTTAATAACCAAAATGGTCAATCCCTAAGTTTAACTTAGTGGCTAAGAATCTAACAAAAGAATGCTGGATCGAAAAACGATTTTCATATGTCCCACTCCTAATGTTAACAATTTTCTTCCTTTATATATATATATATATATATATAGAAGCGAATTGGTGTATTTGGATTTGTTATCTCTTTATAATCATAGAGAGCAAGCATGAAAGTAAATGGATAAACCAATACATTTATTTTCCTTTGCCACAAAAAAAAAAGGAATTTAAGTCAAACTAGGGAAAGCTCTGTGTGTGTATATATACACACAATATGTTTCTATATTATAATTTTTTTTAGAGATATTTCTTTTAGAATTTTAAAATATAGTATTTTCTAGATATTATCTATATATTGGAATCAGGGCATAATTTTTTTGTATAAAAAACCTCAGTTCATTCTCTTGTACATAATTCCATTATAATAAATGTTTACAAATCACAACAAATTTCCTTTCTCTGTTTTCATATTTTACAATAGCATTTGAATGAAAAGAAAAATGTTCGTTTCAAAAAGGTCGAAATTATTTTGAAAAGTCTCTAAATGTGAGAACAATTTAAAAGCGTATCCTATATCTAACAATTTTCATTCTTCGTTAACCAAATCTTTAAATATGTAAGAAAAAGATTTAATAGAAATATTTCTTAGAAAACAAAAAAAATCTTTCATCACATCGACTGAAAGTCAAGAAGTATTCTATCTCGGTTAATTTATTTATTTTTCATATTATAAGATATAAATTTGATTTATTCAAATCCTAATTGATATATTAATTACGTTGCCCTCATGTGCCATTTTCTTTAATATTTTTTCCTCTATTTTTACGTTGCCCTCTCATGGGCCGGTGGTGCACTATGCATGTGTGTGTGTGTGTGTATATATATATATATATATATATATATATATATATATATATATAT